GATTACTTGAGCCTTGAGTTTGGTGTTGTGGCGGTCTCCATCTTGGTTTTTTGCAACCAGAAGTCACGAATCATGAAGTCATGAACAAGATTTGGCAATAAATATGTGAACTTGACTTACTAGAAACACACTGCGGAAGGGTTTAACTTGTAAGATGGAAACAGGGACAACATCCAAAGACCTGTCAATCACAAGCTTTATAGTGTATTTTATTCCTAATGTGACCATATTTCATCAAATGAACACCATGCTCTATAAGAGAGAGACTTGAAACAAGAGTGTGAGACCATAAACTCATTAGGAAAATATTTACGGGGATAATAAATCAAGTAAGAGGCAGTTACAATCGGACTTCCTTTTGCAGCCAGAAGTGAGACGAGAGTGAGGAACAAAGTACAGCATTCAACATTTAAAGTAATCATGCTAAAGTTAAAATTGTAAAACTAAAAGAGAATCCAAACCCTAACACCCCGCACGGTAGCGACAAGGTAGCCAACCCAAAACTAAACCCCGCTTAATTATCTATCTAACTCTAAATTTGGCCATAATTTACTAGATTAACTCCATACTGCATTGAGTAGAACTGGAAACTAGAAGTCGAGACCATAAAATCACCAGTGAATTGTTTTATGGGCTAATAAATCAAGTGAGAAGCAGGGTCATTATCCTCATTAACTTCTACACAATCGGACTTCCTTTTGCAACCCGAGGAATCGCCCCCTGCTGGCCATTAGAGAGGATGCAGGTTAAGGGACTGCATTAAATCCCTTTTCAGTCCCCAAGGTTGCAGTTTAATATTAGATTAGATTAGATTGGACAATTGAGATATTGCTTTATTACAGCAGCATGGTAACAAGGCTCATTAATACGTATAAAACACGCTCCAACACTTTCGTTCAGAGTGAAACATTTCATCAACTATTCGATGGACTGTCGAGACATTTTACCCAGCGTAGAATCATAATCACTTTGGTGATCCAATTAACTGCGGGGGACGAATTCGACATATCTAGTTAAATACCTCACCATCTGCTCGATGCATCTGGATACATTTAGTTTAGTAATTCATGATTAATCTTGTTGAATCTGTTAGTGTAAAACTCCATCAGGTACACAATTGTAGTCCAGAGTAAAACCCCAAAACCGTTAATAATCAGACTATTATCTCGATTAATCCATAATTGTAAATTGTTTGTATCAAAACAACATCAATAAGCCTACTTTCCCAGGTCACAAGTCCTCTCATTTAAGAAGGTCAAACTAGTGAATATTTAGGATTTGTGCTTGGAAAAAAAGCCTGTTTTTCCTTTTTAATATAGTTTGTTTGTTTGTAGCCTTTATTTAACCAGGTTAAAAAATCAAATTATTGTCCTGACATTTTGTGCAGACATTCATGGTCCCCTGAGGATGAAACAGAAACACTATGGCGTCAGATGGAAAGCACCAATGGGTACATCCTGTTCAGAAGAAGGGACTCTTTGCCAAATCTATCCTATAGTTTGTGAGATATTTCAGTCTGGACCAACGATGTGACTGAACACCAAAAACATCTTTAAAGAAACGTGAAACTCCTTCATCTGCATTTTCGTAAAACTTCAACGACATTCTGGTCAAATAAGTAACAATAAATGAGAACACTTGACGATGTGTCTCACTCCTCGACACATTTCCTGAACGTCACTCGATAATAAAACAGCTACATAGAGCTAGGGAAAAAACACAATTTAATTCCAAGTGTAGATATAATCAGAAATCCTTTATTAGTCCCTCAGCGGGGACATTTACAGCATTACAGCAAATGTGACAGAGCAGATGCAAAGGCAGACTAAACAATAGTTAGCCAATATATTAAAAATAGAGACAAGCAAACATAAAATAAAGATGAATAAGTACACCATATCGCTCAAAATAAGTAGCAGCGTTTTAAAAGCTTATAAAGGACATATAAAGGAGGTGAGATATTGTAAATTGTGTGTGTGATTATTGCACAGTATATTGCATAAATGTGTTCATATTGCACATTGCAGGCTTATTGTACAAGATTGTCACAAAAAATGACATTTACTTGTAGATGCTTTGAATGAATACGAATGGCAGCTCAGGGATTCATGTGTTCATCCGGTCAAGTTTCATAAAACAAGATTTTCAGTCTGAACACATCTGTATATATTTAACAGAGCAAGACTATTGAACTAAACACATGTAGGACTTTCTGACTCTTCAAAAGTATTACAGCAGAGTGTATTGATTGTGTGTGTGTGTGTGTGGCCTAGCATTACTATACTTGTGGGGACCTTCTGTTTACACAGTCACGTGTGGGGAATCACCTCCCTTATGGGGACATAATGGAGGTCCCCATAAGGGAAATCATTAATTTTAGGGTGAAGACTTGGTTAGGGTAAGGGTAAGGGTTAGGGTTAGGCATGTGTTGGTTATGGTTAAGGTTAGGATACGTCTCCAGGAAATGCATGTAAGTCAATGTAATGTCCCCTGAAGTGATGTATGCATGTTATGTGTGTGTGTGTGTGTGTGTTTGTGTTTGGCACGTGTGGTAGGGAGAGCTGCAGTGGTTTTTGACGGTGGGCTCTCTGTTTACTGCAACTATAACGATTTGGTCACTGGGTTCTCACCATCCATCACACCCACACACACACACACACACACACACACACACACACACACACACACACACACACACACACACACACACACACACACACACACACACCACACACACACACACACATGCACCACACACATGCGCACACACACACATGCACACACACATGCACCCACCCACACACATGCGCACACACAACACACACACACACACACACACACACACACACACACACACACACACACACACACACACACACACACACACACACACAGGAGGGTAAATAAGGTTGATGGTACTTTGCAGCTGC